ACGTGGATCAGCGGATGTTTGATGGCGCTGGCCGTGGTCGTGTACAGTCGATCGGTCGGCAACGAGTTCCAATTTCGGGCATGGCTTTACTGCGTTTCTGTGTGCTGGGTACTTTCGTCTCTGCTACAGTCAGATAGCTAAGGAAAAATTCTTCTTCGAGAGCTATTTCTGGAAATTGTTGAGCGCGAGTGACAATGATGTACGGGGAAGAAATTTCAAGGAACACGTAAAAAATCGTGGTTGGACTTCCCAGTTGGACTTCACGGACATGTTCATGAAGCGGTATGATGGTACTTGCGGTCATTGTCAGGCGATTGTTGGTTCCGAAATGTTGCATCTTCAGTTTTGGGGCAAGCTTCTTGGATCATATGCACCCCGGTCGTCACGAATAATTGCTTTAGTCGGCCGTCTGCAATGGTTATTATTTTCCGCTGGCACGAGGAGCAGGGAGGGCACTGGTGCACGTTCACGCACGTGTCGTCGCGTGTCGATGAGGATGGTGCCGGCTGTTTCAAATCACACTAGAAAATGATCCGCGCAAATGTTCAGTGTGAATGTTTCCAAAGTACCCTGCGTCTGACTGAGATGGTTGTGTTTCGTGTCCTTCCGAGCCTACTGCTTCACGCACGTGCCATCGCACGCCAATGCACACGGTGCCGATCAATCTACTTCAGGAAATGAAGAGATTTCTGGTGGCTGCTATCCCGTTTCGTGCAATGGATCCTGACAACAAGAATCCTTCCGAAATGCTCTACGTTCGATTCAGCCGGCCAATTCCCGGTCGAAACACCTCCTGGGCTCTGAGAACCGACTTTATACACCAGCTCACTGAAAGCATTCCGTCTGAGGTACGTTTAGCTGAAATGTTCGATACGAAGTGGCGGAAACGTATCATAGGGAGGACGTCAGTGGAGGCTCAGGCGGTGAAAATCACAGAAGAGGGGCTCAATTTTTCTGGATATCGCTTGGTGGTAATGAACTGAGTCTCAACATGCTTGATGTTTAGCTACATTCCGTAATGATAAGCGAGGCCGTGTCGGGAATTGCATTTGAAGGAAACGAAATTTTCGGCAGAAAGTTTGGATTGCGCCGTGCTGAATATCTCATTTCATGGATGTAATCACGAAGATTTTTTAGTAG